ATAAGCAAAACTTACATTTATTATACAGTGTTTATCCGGAAAGTAATAGGACTGAGTCAATTTAAAAAAATTTATTGAGCTGTTACAATTCTTCAAAAACATTCAAAATAGGCTCCTTCTTCGTCGATGCAGCGTTGCCAGCACGATTTCCAAGCATTGAAGGCGTCACGGAAGGCATTCTCCGGAATAGCCTTGAGAGCCGCGGTGCATGCTGCTTGGATCCCCTCTGTCGTCTCAAAATGCTTGCCTTTCATCGGCCTTTTCAGGCGAGGAAACAAAAAAGTCCGGGGGCCACATCTGGGATGTAGGGCGGCTGCGGAAGCGTTGGGATGCCGGCCTTGGTCAGGTAGCTGTTCACAAGAAGGGCAGTGTGAGCCGGGGCGTTGTCGTGGTGCAACATCCAGTCGGCTGCGATGTTTTGTCGAACCCGACTGACCCTTCGTTTGAGTCTCCTGAGCACTTCCACGTAAAACTTGGCGTTGACGGTTTGTCCAGGAGGAACAAATTCATGGTGGACGATGCCTTTGATGTCAAAAAAGACAATGAGCATCGTTTTCACTTTGGATTTGCTCATTCTTCCCTTTTTTGGGCGAGGAGACGCCGTCGTGTGCCACTCGGAAGATTGCCTCTTCGTCTCGGGATCATACTCAAAGATTCACGACTCCTCACCTGTGATTACGTTATTCAAAAATTGGGGGTCACTTTCACACATTTTCAAATATTCTTGGCACACTTTCACTCGCCGCAATTTCTGGTCGTCAGTGAGCACTTTTGGGACCATCTTCGCGCACACCTTGTGCATGTTCAAATGCTGTGTCACAATGTCATGAACCACAGATTTTGTTAAATTTAACATCTGGGCAATTAAACGAATACTTTGTCGACGGTCTGAGTTCAAAACTTTGCGCACACGAGTCACATTATCGGTGTTTGTCGAAGTCGAAGGTCTTCCAGCACGGTCTTCATCAGCGACCTCTTCCCGGCCCTCCAAAAAGGCCTGGTGCCACCGAAACACACCACTTCTTGCTAAAGCAACACCTGGGTAAGCCTGCTTGATCATATCAAACGTCTCTGTCGCAGATTTACCGAGTTTCACACAGAATTTAATCGCGTACCTCTGCTCTAACGAACGCTGCATTTTCGGCTTGCAGCAATCACAGAAAAACGTCGCGCGAAAATGCCTGTCCTGACTCTCCAAGTGCTCGGAGACAACTGACCAGCCGCTCATTTGTTAGCTAGGAACCCCTCTACCGAATCCAGTCGGTGCGCGCACACTCCGAAGTGCAGTCATGGCGGAAGAAAATGAGTCCTATTACTTTCCGGACAAACCCTGTATTACCCATAACTATCGAAATTTTGATATCGGTGAGAAGACTCGTTACGAACATGTACAATAGAGAAAATAAATGAATCAAGTCAGTCAAACAGGCTCATACGAATAGTCAATTGTTTTCCCAAAACTACCAGTCCGATTCAGTTGAAGTTTTGACAGTAGCGGTCTACGAGAATGTACTACACGATAGCAAATTTCTCTTGCGATAGCGGCGCTATTTGGCGGTGAGGATGAGTACTTATCAGACCACCCTCGTACTTCGTTCAAGCACCAAAAGTTATGAAATCAGTCTGTGTGTGCGTATCGACTCATGATGTAATATTTTCCTGTCCAATACTTCGTTTGACTACGATTCCCACACTCAGAACGCCCTCAGGCCGTGTTTGGCTATTAAGTCAGTGGTTAACTATTACAGAATAGACCTGCAAGTGCCAGCCGCAAAGTGGCAAGTCCCAAGCCAGTCCAAATTGCCAGCGTCACCCCAACAAATGACAGCTCTAACTGCCGCTCTACAGCAGCCTAGACACGTCTTCATTCAACATTATCAAGTAAGTAATTGCATATTACCAACAAGACTAATCTATGGATTATTTTATTATATACTCGTATAACACTCTATTGAGATTAGAATTCTCTGATCTGTTTTGTTGGCTGTCATTCGTTTGCTGATAAAAAGCCCAAATCGCAGGCAATCTGTAGTTATGATGGTAAGAATCAGAATAGCATCAGGAGCCAAGTCAATTGACTATGAATTGGTCTTCGTCCCAGAAGACCAGTAGAGATCGAACGGTTGATAGAAAATCAATTCACCCTCAAACATACAGGCTGTTTCAGAAAGACTGTTGATATTTTTTCTAGGGTAGAAAGTACATCCAAAAATAACTAAAAAAAAGTGCCTATGGATATGGGCCCAAAAATGCTTTTCTACCGAGATACAGACAATGCGACGAAGTTTTATATACGAAATTGAAAAAAGTATATCTACGGAGCGGGTACAGATACTGAGTTAGTGCGTTCAGTAAGCACGTCATCAGCAATAAACACACGTGATGCTGACGACTCGGTTTTTCTCACTTTTTTCGATCCAACTCATTTTTACTCACTTTTCATTGAAAACATTCACTTTTCTCACTATTGTCGCTCTCGCTGTATATATTGTAGCTTATGAACGTTTTCGAAGGGGATGCCCTTCTCTCAAGCCCCACGAAAGTTTTTTGTTTAAAATTAAGCAGGATTGGTTAAAATGTACTTTGAATTTTAACTCAGCATTGCTAAAAGCATTCTATACCGAGTGATTCTCCAAGGTGGTTCACCACTACAACTTTTTTATTATTGAAGATAGAATAACGAAATTTGGAGATTGCTCCACCTTTCGATTTTTAAATGGGACACCCTATATATTCTTACTTATTTAGATCGAGAATTACATTCTGAACTCAACAACGCCTCACTTGTCAATATTTGACAAATAAAGTCATTTTTATCTCTATTGCTAATTTTCAATCTGGAATGCCATGGATCCTGTATAAATCGCCTGACTTTTGAACAAGTAACACGGGAAAAATACGATTTTGAGGCGAACGACCTTGCAGTCGTTTTAAAGATTTTCTAACAGTTACAGTTGCATTTTCCTTGCTTCACCGTAAATTAAAAGCATGTCAATTTTCTCGTTTCTAGTATAGTTTTCCGTTATAAATTAACTACGTAACAAATAAATTTCTAAAACTGACAGTATTTTTAATAACCTAGATTGGGTATTTGTTGAAGGTAACCCTAGCAACACGTTCAATTGTTTGTCACGGATAACTAGAATAATAGGACTTGATGCATAGGTATGCCGAACGCACATACGTATAATTCGCTGTTAGGTATGATCGTTTCTTACAATTATTCAGCAAAATAATGAAAATAAAATTTGGAGTGTTTAGTGTCAAATGATTCAAAAGAAAATTGTCTCAGACAAAGCCGACGAGCCACCCCCTTTCTATTTGAGAAAATCAAGGAAACTGAAAAAATAAGTGTTTGTAACTTTTGGAAATCTTACTTGATCAAAAATCAGGCGATTTATACAGGATTCATGGCATTCTAGATTGAAAAATAGAATTTGAAATAAGATTGACTTTGTCAAAAATTGGCAGGTGAGGCGTTGTTGATTTCAGAATATCATTCTCGTTCGAAATAAGTGAAGAAGTACGTCCAAGCAAACCAATTTGTAAAAAAATGTAAATTCATCTATAATATGCAATTCCCTAATTTCGTTTTTCTATCTTCAATAGTAAAAAAGTTATAGGGGTGAGCCACCTTGGAGAATCACCCGGTATAATATGCATTCTGGATTTCATATTCGAAACTTATCCTGAACCGTTTTCATTTTCTCCTGGCATAATTTGAAGTAGAATTTCAATATACATGCATTAACAGTGGCACTTTTTACAAATCGTGAAACCGAGTTTTGAAACAATTAGCCTTATCCAATTGAGTTGAAATTTGGAATACCTGTCTGGTTCGTTTGACAATACATAATGAATTAACTGCCGCCATTTAGAATCTAATATGGTGTATGCTGCATAATGGCGATTTATCATTTCCACAGAATATGTTATGGGTATCAAATCAAAGAGCGAAACACAATAAGCAAAGGGTTTGATGAGAGAGTTGCAGTAGCAACGTGACTTCATTCCACATCCAATACGGCGGCCGTTGCAAAATGTCGATTTATAATTTCCATAATCGCCCCCATTTCATGGCCTTCAAATGAAAGGGATTGATCAAACGCAATGAGCAATGTGACGTCATTCTTATCTAATATCGCGGACGTTTAATATGACATTTGACAATGTATTACAATTATGACATGGAGATGATCTGATGATGCAGCCAGGAAGTGGCCATGGAACCCATCGAGTACAACCTTGATTGATTCCTAATGACATGTATTGTTACGGTCTGACGATTAAGCTAGTCAACTATTGTGTAAAAGATACTCATCTATAATATTTTTTTAAAATTATATAGTCCCCTAAAATGTAGGTTCTACAGTCAATTGGGCAAGAATACTTAATAGACATAAGTAGGTATGAACATTTGAGGTACAATCCTAAAATATACGTATGAAAAGGTTTAGCTTCTCCTATTCTGAAAATATCGAGAAGTTTGTTATTGGAAATGCATGTGAAGAAGCTATGGCACCCCCTTATAATAGTAATTGAATAATACACGTGTCTTATCGTCAACCAGTAGCATAGAAGCTTTCTATTCATTAAACCTTGTCTATGCACACCACTGATTTTCATGTTAGTTATGTTGCTACAAATCTCTTTATGTTGCCATAGACCAAGGTCCAGCATCATGCCACCATAGGAGTGTGCTGTACCTGCATAGACTACTTTCAACGATATACATGTTATTTTATTATACGGTTCAAGAAATTGTATATTTGCATTGTAACTTAGAAATCAAAAAAAATTCAAAATTCGAACTTTCAGTGGCGCAGTCATCGCGGATCGATTCTACCACCCCTTCAAGGCCATCCATCGAGGATATCCGTGGGCACAGGTCGAAGAGGAGATCGCTAGGGAGAAAGTACAGACAGGATACGGCCTTTCCAGAGCGAAGGGGTCCACTGTACTCGCTGCATCCCTCAATCCTACGTTCTGAAGCAAGAAGAATGAAAATCAGCGCCCTCACCATGGCGTAAGTTGCTCATTTTCTGCTTGCTTGCTCGTTACCGCACTAGTTTTTGCATATTTCGTCCATGTCAATCTACTCGTCTCCTAATTCCTGACAGGAAAATAGTGAGGCCGAGTATACTTTTAGTATTCCAAACGGTTTCAAGCAGTTTTGGAAACTATCCTCAGATTTTCCGCATTTAGCTTACGCCGGCTCCACACGTTGGCCCCAACGTTGGCGGTTAAGTTGGTGAAGCGTCCAAACGTTGGTTATTATACTAGTTCCCAACTGTCAGAGCCAATGTGAAGATGTCCGACACCGAAACAGAAATTGCTCTAAGCGCCTGGATGCGCCTGGTATAACTCTAAAAATTCTACTTCTTCGTTTGTCCACGCGGGTAGCGATGTTGTTGATGACATATCTCCACATACGCACTCGACGCGTGTTACAACAAGTCTGAGCCAGTGAGCCAATATGTGGACGGATTGCCAACGTTGGCGCAGATTCCTTTGATAAAACCGACAATCGACAGCCTCCAACGTTGGGGCCAACGCTATTTTCTAGATACACACGTTGGGCGAGTGGCGTTGGGGCCAACGTGTAGAGCCGGCGTTAGATAGCGATTCCGAAACAGATATGTCAGTCCCACAAGCTCCCCATTTCGTGTTAAAGCTTCTAGACATAGTTCCCAAATATGACGGAAACCCATTAGAGTTAACAGCATTTTTGGAAACTGCTAACACATTGATTAATCTAGTAGGATACTAACTCAAGTAACGCTAATTGTGTACAGAATTTAATTATTTACGTAATTTATTCGAAATTGATTGACAATGCTTCGGTGATCAAAGAGACGAAAATGGATTATCATTCGAACTTAACCAATTAAAACAAGGTAACGATTGCAGTTGTATACCAACATTGTCAAATTCTAGTGCTTTACACAATTTTAATGATACGCATGAAGTTCATATGACTACACAGTGCAGAATTTTTTTTTTACAATACACATGCACTTCGAATATTTTTGGGTGGCTTCCGTGAACGTTTAGGCTCTACGGTTCGAGCTATCATCGAGCGTGATCGAAAACGTTATAAAGGCAGCAGTGGACAAAACTTGCCATTGCAACATACAACCACGTTACTTGGCTTTAAATGTGCGTAAATCGATGCGGTTTTCCCGGAATATCGTTTGTTTTACGGTTCTTTATGCATCGTGCCAGTGTACCCTTAGGAAAAAGTTGCAAAAATATTGATAAACGGCTGCGGTTTTCACGTTTATCACATACCGGTAGACAGCTGTACTGTACGACTCGTGTAAGCAACGTCGTGTAATAATGAACACATCGAAGAAACGCTCACCATTTTTGAAAATCGACTTCAGGATTTTTTTGTATAATATATAGTAAAATTATCGTGCCCACAGTCGCTTTGGCGAGTCGGTCCCGCACCATCGTTTTTTGATACTTAAGACTCTTTATATGGTGTATAAAGGAAAAGCGTTATAACGTTTTCGATCGCGCTCGATCGATCGGCAGGCTCATTACCTAACTTCCAACCTACCGAAAATCGACCGGAATCGGTCGATAGTTGCTGTCAAACGCAAACTTCGTATTATTATCAGTCGGCGCATCTCAGTCAGCGACCAGTTACGGTGGCGCCTCTATGGAGCAACTGGTGAACAAAAAGTGCATTATTTGGTTAGGAGTAGCAAAAAATTGGTATTACCTAACTTATGACAGCGACCCAACAGCAACCAAGTGGTGAATTGAACTGTGAAATTAACAACTGCTCGGTGGTAGTCGCCTAGTCGGTCGTCGATCGGTTACGAGTATTTTTTTGTATCAATTTATCAAAATTATTCGTTTTTTTTTTTGACAAGAAAGGCAAGTATAACAAGTTCAAATAAGAAATATAATAACTTGACGTCTAAAAAGTTATTTTATACTCTCAATTTGTATTTTCAGCAGTTTTGATTCTCTGCGACGGCTCGTGCTTATGGAAGCTTGGAAACTGAAAGAATGCAGGGTCAAAGACGACAAACTGCTGGCCTACGGCGTATTTTTCAGTATGTAGGAGCTGAAGTTCATAATGATTACAAAATAAGCTTACTTGCACCTACCTACCACAGTATATAGATACATTTATTTTAGGTATTTACAGCAGTTTTGGTGCTGGCCTCTGGTTCCTACCAGAAACACATTGACCTGGGTTACTTACATGGGCTCTCTGCCTACCCAGTGTACCCAAAGCACTAATGGAAGCAGTATGTGCATTAAATCGTCCAGACATTGTATTGAAGCATATTTATTTCCCTCAATTACCATAAGAGAGTATAGTAAGTATATTGCCATGCATATTAAGAAAATGAGATTACATATCAAAATTTTATGGTGGATTTATTAATTGAGAAACTGAGTTCAGCTATATCAAAAACTTTTTAATACATGAAAGTTTGCATTACCTGATGAAATTTCATCCCAATGCCAGTTGAAATTTCCTATTAACAGAAGTAATAAGAAGTCAATATTCATCAATCATAACATCAATACCTCAGATTCATTATCTGCAAGATTAATAATACAACAACAAATCTGAGTTTTAATATTCCACATAATTAGTAGGTAACTATCATTTACTCTATTTGTGGACACTAGTTGTAATTATTGTTATATACCTGCTTGAGGATCAGTAATAATGACAGATATATTTTTACAGGTGACTCTGGACAACCATTAACAGCCTGGCTCCTAATGCCTGTTATAAATGCTGAACCCGTCACTGTAGAAGCACATGATACCAGAAATACCATAGAGGGATGCATAGGAGTATTAAAATTTCTATTATCTACTGTATCAAACATTTTAGATTTCCATGAAATAATGTTCATTGTCATATATATGTTTATGTTTAATGACAGCTCGGCTTTAAAAAGGTATTATCAAACAACGTAAATAAAATGTTAATGTTTATAGAAGTAGTTTTCTAGGAAGATTTATTTTCACCTGTAAATATTCAACAATATCTATTTTGAGCAATGAAGATCAGGAGAAATCGCAAAATGCATTTGTAATGGGAAGCACTGCCTTTTTAATATATTGTTATCAAAATCATCGACCCTTTTTGTAAAACAAGCCCCATTTTTTTTCAATTTAAGCATTAATGGTACTAAACACAATCGTACAAATTTTAAATTTAAAAAATCTGGTGTTCCACAATCATTCAAGCAGCCTAGAACTTCGCCGCTAGTGAAGATTAGTATAAATCGCAAAATGTATGTATAATGGGAAACAATACTCTTTTTAAAAATTGTATCAAAAGCATTTCTACTAATATAATCCCCAAAAAAACATGGATTTTTGTTTGACACAATGTCCTTTTCGTCAATTTCTAAAGCAATTATTATTCGAAAAGTTCGGTGGTGATTTTTAGGAAATGATTTAAGAGAGGTGGTTTTGACACCAACAAAAATAGCTCACTGTTACAGGACAGTAATAGAAACAATATGGTAAATTGTAGCACAAGTAAACAATGATGATGAAAATACTTTATTCTTTCTGAATTTCAATCAGTTTAAATATGCGTGACCGCATTTCTTGTGAAATTTTTGAAGTTACATTATTGACGTCTGTATCTGTATACGACTGGCTTCTGCACACTGTCTAGCTATTTGTGATTCTGTTTCTGGTGAAGTTGAAGTACTTGGTACTGAAAATCAAAAAGCTTTTAATTAATATCTGAAATTATGAAGCAAAACCAAGTAGAAACTGAATTCAAATGCAATTTCTATTACATAACCACGTTCGTTCTAAAACACAAGTTCATCACTGTGAAAAATTAAAAATTTGTATTTTTTTTATTTGAACAAAAACTTTGTAGGTACTTTTATTTTGTCATCAAGAGTTATAAAATGATGTGGAATGCCAGGAAGCAAGATCTTTTTTCAATTTAAATGTGGTTTAAGTGGCCAAAAGAGATGGAGCATATACGCTGATTTTTCGTTGGTTAATATTAATCCCATTTAAATTTACGCAATAGTTATGTACTTAAACCAAATGGAACTGGATGTTCAGTATCTCCAAATATTGCTGCTGTTCCCAATATGGCCATAACCTGCTTGTCTATTGTATGTAATTGTATCATATGTTGAAAGTTATCCAGCACTGTGAAAAACCTAGAGTACTAATTCAAGGAAATTACTCAGGAATCTGTGTAAACCACACTTGCAAATATTAAAAGAAGGTAGCAACTATTTGGAACGATACAAATACATTGAAGTAAAGAAACTATTTTCAAAATACCAGTTTTTGCGTTTTTAATGAATGCCCATCCGTGTTTTTTGAAAGCGATCTGAGTAGAAAAAAGTTTCTTACAAATTGACCCAATAAAGAGTAAATTACTGCAAAAATGGATAAATGTCCTCGTTTCTCAAGTTACTTGAATAAAAAAGTGTTCTGATAAAATATTGTACGAAACCGAAAAATTACTTTTTAAAAAGTTTATGTTGGAGACAACTGATTGTTACAAGCAGGAGTACAAATCTGTCTTTCGTATTACGAAGACAGATTAACGGACTAATCATAATGATGACCTCAAAATAAAATTATAATAAAAATTTATCAACAGAAGTGTTCAATTCAGAGTAAACAGCGTCCTGTCACAGCTTATTTGACATCACAGCAGTTTTACTATACCTTTTAGACACTATTTCATTATGTTTATCTTACAACACGCTTTGCTAAAGATCTCTTTTTATTACAACATGGTTATATGTAGCGTTCATGAAAAATATGTTTCGTTACTGATGTCACAAAGTTGTATGTATTACATACCACTTTGTAATTCCAACCTAATCCAGATATAACTTTGAAACTCTGTATTGTATGGTCAAAGCTCAATACACATACAACTAAATAATGGTTTAAACTAAAAATCAAGAAAAATGCGACATACAACAGTGGAAGTCTAGGGTGATGACTTGCGGAAAGTGTATTTTCCGCATCTGTTAGGTAAATAACTATTAG